ACCATTATAAGTTCCATGTTATCATAAGGTTAGGCAAAATTATAATAACCTTAAAAATGAAAGAAAATCCTTAAAATCTTAAAAATGAAATAAATACAGTTTTATATACCCATTTACATGCAACTATTTTTTAAAACACCCATGCTTTTAAGTACAATGCACAATATATAGTTTTAGGAAGGAATTCAAATCTTCAAATCGTTATAGTTTTCATTATTTCCTAATTATTTTATCACTTTACCACACTTTTTATTTTATTACTGATTTCATTATTTTAATATTTATTTTTAATATTATTATGATGTTATTAAATATTGCTTTATTAATCTATGTTTCAAATTTATTTTACTTAAAAAATATATATTACATGTTGCTTGACCTTAATGTCCTTCACTTTAATTTTTTTTTGTTGAAACATTAAATAAAATTTCTAACGACACTTGCTCTTAGTCTTTTATGTTCACATATCAAATAATAAGATAGATATGAATTTATACAACTCTTTTTACATATAAAAGCATTTGCAACGTAAAACTCTATGCATGTTCATGCAATTATAATTGAAGCATTCTTAAACATTACAGATAAAAGGTTTTAAAAATACGAAGAATTTCATTTCGATATCTATAAATTTTGCGTCCCGCTGTCAGGCGCACAGGACGAAAAGCATCAGTTATCACAATGGTTCCAAAAAGTAAACAAATTTAAATTATAAATATACGTTCAAAAGTTTAAAAATAAATCTAAAAGAAAAAAGTTTACCTTCTCTAAAAGTACATCCGTAATCTTATTATCCAAGAATGTAATTTCATCCACCAATTGAATAAAATCGAAACTGAAAACGATTCTTTAAATCAAAACAAATGCAGGGTAAAGAAATAGCCAGCTAAAAACGTCTTGATAGAATTCGCTTTTGACCATGACAGCTAACTGTGTAAACAGACGCGAAAAGACACTGAGTTAAGTGGGTCATACTGACAACGCATGGTTGAAGATCAGAGCATATTGCTCATTTTCTTCTCTTTCAATTTCCATTAATTCAACTGATTTCTTTTTTACTTCGGAAAAAAAGGAGGATTCAGTTTTTTTTTCTATTTTTGCACACATTAGATAATTTAATTTGCGTCAATGTTCGTTCGCATTCATTACTACCACTTTTTGACTCATATTTTAACTCTTTACAGGGCCATTTTTTAAAACAATTTTTGAATTGAAATTGATTTATAAAAAGAAACTCTCTTTTCGCTTATAAACTAAAATTAATTTGATTTTTAAGACCATTTTTAGTAGGTTTGGGGGATTTTAAAAAAATTATCTAGCGTAAAGAATTTGCCACAAAGTTAAAGCTCTTTGTTGATAACTACAAATATACTCGGTGAGAAATTAACTAATGACAGAACGCATAACGGACACGAGGAAATAGCTCTCAAGTATTGGCGTTCCTCATTGACCTCTCGTAACCTTTACTGTTTACTGTTGTATTTTATAACAGTCGTTGAACAGCCTACCCAAATTTTAGGTTTACGACAACTAATCTTCGACTCTGTAGCCATGTAATTTTGAACCCAATCCAGAAGACAAGGGAATTCCTGGATTAAGTATTGGGAGAAATTTGCCTTCGTGGACGACGTTTTGATGGAGCTAAGCCGCATTTGCGTTACATGGAGAGGAAGACCTCGAGAACCTCCCACGGTTAGCCTGACGGCANATGAAGCCCTTTTACAGTTAGCCCGAAGGCAAAATCATTCTAACCCCTGATCCGTCTACCACTGAAGATATTTTATGTCATCACTGTGGTCGGTGCAAGCCGGATGCGGATTCGTATCAATAGGATTCGAACCCGGTTCACCTCATTGGAAGGCGAACGCTCCTGAGCCATCACGACACTTTACTGTTGTATATTATCATAAACTGCCGTATATAATGTTTTAAATACATGTTGTATATACTGTTGCATATAATAAGGTGAGAATTATACTTCTCATGGCCCTATAAAGAGTAAAATTTAGAAATTTTTAATGTGAAGATAAACTATATATGTTTGAAAAAGTCGTATTTTTAAAATTTGATTTCTCAGGAACTATTTAACCAATCTCGCTCAAACTTCGTAATTTGTCACTCAAAATTGCATCCTTAAAAATGATATTAAAATGCGCTTACTATGCATTTTGAATTTTCTTCAACTATGAAATAAAATTTTAAAGAAATAATACAACTTTATTGAAATTTATATTTTGCATGGAATTACTTTTGGATAAATTTTGAATTGCGTGTGAAAAATTTTTCATTTCGCTTATGTTCTGCAGATACAGAGAAATACGCAAAAATTAAGATTAAGGGATTCAAAATTTGGACAGCACTCCTGACTTTAAGTTACTGCTTTTGTCTGAATTTAATCCAAAATTAGATTGTTACAGATTAAGTCCAAGTTAAAGCAAAGGATAAAGTATGTTGCAACTTTCTTGCGTAAGCAGTGGAGTGCGCTTTGTGATTCGCTTATTTTTACTGACAACGGGCAGAGAAAGAGTTCAAATTTGCCAAAACATGCTTACGTAATATTTAAAGTGTCCCCAGAGAAAGTTTCAACTGTAAAAGAAAACTACAGTATAACTGTAGTTTAAAATACCATTTTTTTAACTGTTCAACAAAAATGGCTCGCACAAAAATTAGATAGCTACAAATAGCTCACTTAAAAATAAAAAAAAATTGTTCATGATAGTGTCAAAATAAGAATCTGATTGCCCATAAAAATTTCATCAAAAAGTAAAGACTTAAAACATTTTTGGAATAAATCTTTAAATTTAAAATATTTAATAAGATTTCAAAAATAGAACTTACGTTTTTCACATTGATATATCCAAACGAAATTACATTGAATAAAACCATATACAGCCCTTTCGTGTTGGCATCTAATTCGATTCTTTTTCGAACGAAACTCTTGTGAGAAAAACGGAATGGCTGTGTTTGTTTGAAACAAAGTCAAAGTGTCAGTCATAAAGTTACTTTTTTAAGATGTGAACTCTCAACGACCTGAAAATGCTATACCAGCTTCACGAAAGCAAGCGACATATGAAAAAAAAAAAAAGAATGCATGTTTATGATTGCGATGATTACTATGTCAGTCACACGTCTGGACGTTTAAGCTTAAGGCAATACTGTTTTTGAAACTATATTTAGAAACGTCTAAACAGTATTTAATATCATTATGCCTTACTTATACCAGCAATATTGACTTTAAGCTGGTATTTGCAGTGAATGTAGATTAAGAAATTTTGTAGTCATTATTTTATTGGTTGCACAGTTGCAAGTTAAATGTTTATATTTGTTGTAGATGAGAAATATTGATATTTAAGAAAATTATTTTTTCTCAACATTCATTGCTAGTGCGTGTTGTATGTCGAAATTTTTCTGATCTAAGTTGAAATTATTGATATTTGAGAAATAAAAAATGTTCTCAGCATTCACTGTTAGTGCGTGTTAAATGNTTCGATTCTTTTTCGAACGAAAATCTTGAGAAAAACGGAATGGCTGTGTTTGTTTGAAACAAAGTCAAAGTGTCAGTCATAAAGTTACTTTTTTAAGATGTGAACTCTCAACGACCTGAAAATGCTATACCAGCTTCACGAAAGCAAGCGACATATGAAGAAAAAAAAAGAATGCATGTTTATGATTGCGATGATTACTATGTCAGTCACACGTCTGGACGTTTAAGCTTAAGGCAATACTGTTTTTGAAACTATATTTAGAAACGTCTAAACAGTATTTAATATCATTATGCCTTACTTATACCAGTAATATCGACTTTAAGCTGGTATTTGCAGTGAATGTTGATTAAGAAATTTTGTAGTCATTATTTAATTTGCTGCACAGCTTGCAAGTTAAATGTCTATATTTGTTGTAGATGAGAAATATTGATATTTCAGAAAAATAATTTTTCTCAAAATTCATTGTTAGTGCATGCTGAATGTTGACATTTTGTGGCACAAGGGATAATTAAGGATAAGAAAATTATTTTTTCTCAACATTCATTGCTAGTGCGTGCTGCATGGCGAAATTTTTCTGCTCATAGTTGAAATTATTGATATTTGAGAAATAAAAAATGTTCTCAGCATTCACTGTTAGTGCGTGTTAAATGTCGAAAATTCCTGATGTGAGTTTGAAATATTGTTTTTTAAGGAAAAACAATTCACATCATTCACTGTTAGTGCTAACTAAATATCGGCATTTTCAACTGCAGGCGAAAATTGTTGATATTTCAGAATATTTTTTCTCCTCATCATTCACTGGTAGTGCGTTTTGAATGTCGTCATTCCCTGATGTAAGTTATAGAAATATTGATATTTATGGAAATGAAATTTTCAATATTCTCTGTTAATGCAGGCAATATCTTTTAAAACTATATTCACAGATGTTTAAACAGCTTAATTCATAAAACAATCTTGTTCCAATCATAAATGAAATATAGAAATTTTTTTCAACGAAATAAAAAAAATTTTTGCTTTAAAATTAAAAATAATAATTTTTACAATTATTGCAGGACTTTATAAGTCACTTTTTCAAATAATTCATTATAGCGTTTTGGTAAAACTTCAATATTTAAAAATGGTTCAATATCCAACCCTAATATTGGTTCGTTGAACCATAGCGTTGAAGCTTGCTGCAACCGCATACAGTGTTAAGTAGAAGGGAATTGGTCACTTGCCCGACACTCGGTTACCCAAACCTCGACTCGGTTATACGGCTTTACTGACAGGTACATTTCATCAGCAAGATGTAGACATGTCAGAGAAACGCGTGTAAGAATATGATAGGATATATTACATATCTCATATCTTTAGAATTTTTTTTTTTTACTAATTCATAAATTTTTGCACGCAAATATAAAATTCGCTTATAAGATAATTCCATGTAAAAAATAATTTTTAATTATTATTTATTAGATTATTTAAATAAGATATAACCTCTTAAGGAGATAAAAGTAACAAAAAACAGTGACTTACCTTTCAGCAAACTGTTGGAACTTCATTCGAATTGGGTATCCAGTTTTCCTGATGCTTATTGTTTCTAACATACCGGAGTACCGCAGCTGCTCCAGGACTATGAGCATGTCAAATTTCATAGGTGCTTTCTCGTTGTTTGGTTTAATGCAACGTACAAACCAAGGATGACACCTGCAACACAACACAATTCCCATCAGGAATGAAACTAATCCAAAGATGTGGAATAATGGCAAAGGACATTTTTAACTATATGAATTAGACGGAATGTACAGATTAATGCTGTAAGAGTTGGAATCCGCCATACAGAGCAAACATTAAACCACTTTTCTCAAAGTAATTTAATATTAGCGCAAAACGTAACGCAAGTTAACTAGTACGACTTATTAAGTTAACGCAAAAAAATTTGTAAAATCATTAGATTCTCCAGCTGTAAGACATCACAAAATTCTTTAAAAAAAAATATGCACTACAACGTCCCCGTTTCAGCAATCAATTTTGAAAATAACAAATCCAATTCTAAGGCACTTTTGAACTAAAATGAATAGATTTCGTTTGAGTCATTAAAACACATACAAATATTGATGAATTACGAATGGTAAAAATTATACCGGTTAGAAGACATAGAAGAATGCGCATTTCTTGAGATTTCTTTAATCGTAGTTCATCAAGTTTTCCGTTTGTAGTTTAATCATAGTTTTAATCAAGCTTTCCGAATAAGCCCTTGAAGTTTTTGAAGCACGTGAGAAGTATAATAAGTATACGAACATTTTAATGTTCGGGAAGTCGTAATTACGTATACGAATTAGAATATTAAAGTCAGACCATTAACTTACAGCAAATAAGAAAAAAATCTTGTTTTATTTTTTTCGCTTTTTATGAAGATTAAAATATCAGACTTTTGTTAACAACTTTATCACGAAGTCAATGAGCATTAAAAAATTCATTTTATTAACTTTAAAATTCTATTACCATTCTAGAGTCATACAGTTGGTGACATATTAAAAAAATTTATGTGACATAATATTTTTACAACTAATTAGTTATTACAAAATGAAATAAGCATTTTTAAATTAGGTTTTTGTTTAACCCCTTTGGAACCGGCGATTCATGAAAGCATTCGTATGAAATCAGAATCAGGATGAGAAAAAATAAAAAGTGGTAGCTCATATAAATGTGGACATTACTATTGACAGACTTATTTTGCTTTTATTTTAATCACTGTTAGTCTAGTTATCTTAGTTCTAAGTGTAACCAAACAGTTTTTATTTTGAACTAAGTAGTAGTGAATTGAATAAATCAAACTTTTATAACCTCCAATCACTAACAAAATTGCTAAAGAATTAATTTGGTTACCAGTTTTATCTTTTTTGCCTTGATTGATAACGTTTCATGTAGTCACGTTACGTTATTAAGTGACAGTCGACGCGATAGGGTTTAATAGAAATTCCAACACTAATTAATTTGAGTTCTTATAAATGTTTTTAAAAAACCATTTTTCAAAATTTTTTTTAAAATATCTGTTCGAAGAGGAAATGTCGTTATTTACTCACTTAGCCATAGTGTCAACAAGAGATTGCAAAGAATCGTGAAATCTTGCACCCACAGTTGGCGTTCTCGGCTTCATGGTAACAAAGCGGCCATTGCTTTTGCTGATAGTCTTAGCAGCTTCTGCAGTATCTCGCAACTCCTGAAACATCTTGGATATCATCTGCAACAATAAAACATAATATAACATATGAGTCCAATAATAAAATTACATAATAAGTTAAAAAGGACACCCACGCCTCTAATAACTGTTAAAACTTTCAACAAAAATAAAACTAGATAAAAGAATATTTAATAAATGTAGGTTTCAGGCACCTAAATGCCCATAAAGTAGCCAACTTTGTTTGACTATATTCTTTCGTATACTTAAAGAATACATATAGCATTTAGAGTAAAGTTGTTATCATTGTGTCAATTATTTTTGTCAATTACCCTAATATAAATCAGAAAAATGTTTACAAGTATTATGAACCTGTGTGACTGGAGAGAGAGTATAATAACACCATTTTTTCCGAATGGCTTCTTACTCTTCGAGTTTTTTTAGTTTACATCGATCTAGAAAAATAAACTAAATTTTATTACTCCTAATATGCTTTTACTAAATCAGATACTATAGCTTTTTTTTATACTGCTCACAAAATGTTAGACTAGATAATGTTTCAATAGTTGGGTCACCAGCCCAATCATAGAAACTGAGGTTGGCTCGTTAAAGACAACTAGCAATCGTTATGGGTTTACGTTCGTAAATTCTGTAATTAAAATAAACAATTGTTACTGTGACTCAATAACACTGACTAAACACAATTTTACATTCTATCTGTAACAAGTACACCAACGAATGAACTCGTTTAAAGGTACAACCTTCCAGTAATATCAATTCATCAGGACAAATTCATATCTTATATCTCTCAAGACTCAAAATCGTTATAAAAATAATGTAATGAAGACAATTACTGGACTTCTATGGGCAATTAATACGCAATTATTGGATACATCAACCAAGGAAATGCCAATTCATTATGCGTATTTACATCATTTTTATTCATTTGTGTACCAAACTTAGATGACAAAAATATTCCCTTAGTAAAGACTCAAAATGGAGGTTTTTTGTATATTTTTCTTATGTATAATTCTTTTTCTCAGTATTTGAACAAACTCATGGACTGTTTTTTTAAATAGAACGTAGGCATGTTTTTCATGGTCAACCTAATCAGACTACTTATTATTTGTCCATGATAAGAAATATTTATGCCCTCTGTACAGAGAGACCGCACAAGGCAGGATTTATTGGGGAAAAAATCAAGTATGTTACTTTGAGATTTAAGAAAGAACCATGAGACTAAAGGCAAAAAATGATAAACTAAATCTAAAATATCCAAAACAGTTTTCGATTTCTCATTCAAAGAAATATCTTTTTTTAATAAACACCGAAACTTTTTAAGCAAAACTATTCTTAAATTATAATAAGCACTAAGAAATTTTAAAATCTAGAAAGGAACAAAATTTATAAATGACAGTGGTCTAAATTTAAAATAGTGGATATCAGCGATTTTTATTCAATATTTCATTTCCTTGGAAAGGATTTAAAATTTTCGACTTCCTTGAGAGGGAATTATATTTCTTGTAAGGGAACAAATTTTAATTTTTTTAAATCTTTTTTTTTCTTCTTAATATTAATTCATCCGTAATCGGAAAAGATAATTTGAAAAAGCCAATCCATGTTTCTTTTTCAAATAACAAGTTCTTTAACCACTTTTCGGTAACCTTTAAGCGATAAGCGAGTTTTTTCTTTAATCAATATCTACAACACATGACGCAGTGCAGGGGTAAAAAGAAGAAAAAAACAAAGAAATCACTATCTTGATGCTATATAGTAGCATGTGAGATGATTTAAAGTGTATCCAAAATGAAGTTAAAGGTTAGATTGACCCTGGGGTGCCAGATGAAAAAAAGAAGAATGTGACCTTGAAATTTCATTACGACAAATTACTTAGGACAGTTCAGCAGTTGTTTGTCGCTTAGAATACCAATTAAGATCATGCACGAGGGATTAAAATTGAAAATCTACTTGGAAAGGAATGCATTACATAACTAGATATGCCAGTTGATCTTAAGAATAATCAAAACACTTGTGTGCAGCAAATGCATCAGGACAAGAGTGACACTATCTGTAAAAATGGCATTTGAAAAAGCATGAAAAATGTTACCAATTAATGAAAAATATTTTATCATAGGGATCTACATTTTCTTAACTATGACTTTTTGTGAAAAAAATGTAATGACAAGACAGTAAAAATTATTAAATAAGTATAAATAACATCACAAAACAAAATTACAAAATCAAATTTAACAATTATAATTCACGACATAGAGATTTAATTTTCCATTTAATACTTTTTGAATCAATAACATGTAGTTTTTAAGTTGGTTAAGTGTTTGAAAATTTCCGGATTCGTGGTTGAAAAATATAGTTTCGCTTTAAAAAAATGGACTGAGGCTTAATATTAAAAAACCTCTGTAAAAAGATTAGCTTAATAAAGAATGTATTGATCATGATTATAATAATTTAACTGATGTTGTGAATGGAAAATGTATACATTAGCCTGGATTCAGTGATTTGCATCCATTCATGGAAGTGGGAAAGAAAGGACGCAATCCATCCAATTATCATTTTTCATGGATTGAATTCAGTTTGATGATACAAACGCAATTCAGTTGGAGGTAGAAGTGAATTAATATTTTTCGTGGATTGAAATCAGTTTGATGATACAAACGCAATTCAGTTGGAGGTAGAAATGAATTAATATTTTTTCATGGATTGAATTCAGTTTGATGATACAAACGCAATTCAGTTGGAGGTAGAAGGGAATTAATATTTTTTCATGGATTGAATTCAGTTAGGTAATACAAACGAAATTCAATAAGAAAAAATGAATTAATATTTTTTCATGGATTGAATTCAGTTTGATGATACAAACGCAATTCAGTTGGAGGTAGAAGTGAATTAATATTTTTCATGGCTTGAATTCAGTTAGGTAATACAAACGAAATGCAATAAGAAAAAATGAATTAATATTTTTTCATGGCTTGAATTCAGTTTGATGATACAAACGTAATTCATTTGGAAGTAAAAGTGGAGTAATATTTTTTATAAATTTAGTTCAGTTTGATGATGCAAAAGCAATTCAGTTGGAAATAAAAGTGGAGTAATATTTTTCATGGATTTAATTCAGTTTGATGATGCAAAAGCAATTCAGTTGGAAGTAAAAGTGGAGTAATATTTTTTATGGATTTAATTCAGTTTGATGATGCAAAAGCAATTCAGTTGGAAGTAAAAGTAGAGTAATATTTTTCATGGATTTAATTCAATTTGATGATGCAAAAGCAATTCAGTTGGTAGTAAAAGTGGAGTAATATTTTTGATGGATTGAATTAAGTTTGATGATACAAAAGCAATTCAGTAAGAAAAAAAGGGAATTAATATTTTTTATGGATTGAATTCAGTTTCGTGATATAAACGCAATTAAATTGGAAGAAAAAGTGAATTTGCCACTTAGGGCGCAACTCACAGGCTGCCCGTTGATCTGTTTGTTTTATGACAGGACTAGAGATAGGTAAACACCAATTTGTTTGTTTTTTGGAATCAGTTATAAACGAATACTGATGCAACTGAGTTTCAGATACAAAAAAATAATATTTCATTTGTATCAGATACATATCAATCTTAACTTAGACGCTAATCAACAGATGAAAAATTATGAAGTAAAACTTTCTTTTCTACGTTAGTTTTTTATTTTATTTTGTATTGTATTATAAATCTGCTTCATTTATTAAACATATAGATGCATATATCCGAGCGTATATAAGGTCGAAACAAAAAGAATGTTATTTTAAAATGATTAAAAAAATGTTTTCCTTTTTGTCATAATGAGAATTTTTTTTTATATCAACAGTTGCAAGCATAAATTTAGAACAATCTGATGTAATAAAAAACACTCCTTTCCACTCAAAAGCAAACAATTTTCTTAAAAAGAAAAAAAAAACTATCACAAAAAAAGATTGCTTTCAGCCTTAGAAAGATAAGTCCACTAAATGTAAAGGTGGCGTAATTTACTTTCTAAGTAGCAGTTTTTCATTAACGTCTAGACTTAAAATAGACTGGCAAAGTTCTGACGTGTTTGTTTTTACTCAGAAAAATTTGCATGCTTCAATGACTCCAGTAACTGTTGAAAATAAACAACATTCAAATATTGTTATGTCACATAAATATCATGAAATTTTCAACTAAAATCACAGTTCTTATCTAAAAAAAATTCTTTTTATTGCTTATTTATACATTTATTCGGATTTCAAAGAGAGGAAATATTGAGTGGAAGAATCCAATTAATCCAGGAGAGCCGAGAATCGAAGTTAAAATTTATTTTTCACATATTTAAATTCGGAAAATTTTGCCAGTTGTCCATTTGCAGGCGGAATGAAAAAGCCTTTATGATTTAATCAGGGTGCGTAGCCAAATTGTTCAACAAAAAATAAGCACCTTTTAAGCACTTTTCAAGGATCCAAAAAATATTTTTAAGCACTTTAAAAAAATATCATAATTAGACTGGGTTGGAAGGTTTTTGACAATTGTCGGTTTTATCATGTTTTAACCGTCATGTCAAAAAAAAAAACTTTTGGCATTGTTTTTGACAATTGTCAAAAATCATGAAATTTTGAATCATGTAAAACGAATGGCGTTTTCAAACTCTACGGACTGACGATACACCGAAATAGATTGGGGTTGAATTAATTGTGAAAACGTTGAATAGAACAATGTGAACTGTTTTTGCATAATTCGAAGCGAAAATCAACATGGTAAAGGAAAAATCTCAATGAGAAAACGGGAAAATTAAACATTTTTTAAAAACACCCAATGAAAAAAGCACTTTCAAAAGACGAAAATCGAAAATAAGCACCTTTAAGCACCTTTGAAAAACACTACGCACCCTGTTAATCAATACGACAATACAAATTATGCATTTGGTATTATTGTAGCTAAAACACAATTATTTACAATTTAAGCCGAACTATTGTTTCTGAAATTGCAATAAAATAAGAATGCTGAGGTTTTGAAATCCTCAAAAATATACTTTTAAATAACCCAATTTTAAAAGTTACAATTTTTGCATGTCAAACAATACATTGCGTGCACAAGAAGTCTGGTTTTAAGTCAACGCTAGAGAAACGTAAAATGACAGTAATTTTAACGCTTCTACGATGGAACAATGACCGATGATTAAATTACTTTTTCCGAAAATCATTTCCGGCATAAAGTTAGAAAATTATTTGCTGGTTTTTCTTTCAANTAGAGAAAAAAATTGCTGATGGTTCTAAACTTGAGACTTGTATTGTACAGTGAAAGGCACATTATATTAACACATTGACCGATAACAAGTTAACTCGTGTTTTCGTTAGCAGTGATCTCGTGGTGACTATTTTAAAAAGTGGGCGTAATTTTCCTCACTTTTCAAGTTTTACTATTTAATTCTATACTGATTTTTAATAACTTAACGAAACTAGATATATTTGCAAAACTTATGGTGTACCATTACACGTAGGTGATTGTTATACTTTTTATCATACGGCACTAAAAATTAAAAGTTTTTAAAGTTTATTTATATTGTTTTACTTCCACATTCGCTTTCAGAACAATATCCGATGACATGGGGTAATTTTCAGAAAAGTTGCCGGTCAGCAATGTGTTAACACTCAAGGACAAAAAAAAAAAGACGAATTAACGGAAACGAACTGCAAAACTGCTTACATGTCTTGAAACTAAAAATGTTCGGAGAAATGCCTATTACTTCAATGCTAAAAAATTTTTAAAAGTGATAAGTGATAATTTCATGATTTTTTTCTTCTTTTTTTGAGAAAAAAATAGTTTCAAGTGTTGAAATTTGACATTCAAACGGTACAGGGCGCAAAATGACCTCAATTATTAAGGGGTAGTAGCAAAATTACCTCCTTAAAAATATAAGGGGTAACCCGCAGTCGGGGAAATCTGTCCCCGATAGTTAGATCTGGAAAGCGACCCCTTAATGTTAATTTTACTTTGCGTTTTTTGCCATATCTAGAAAATTTTTCAAGATAATCGAAAACTTTTGCCTCCAAAGATAATTCCGTGCAAAAAAATTATTCTTTATAATTATTTATTATTTTATTTTGTAATAGTCGAAAACATTTTGAATTGTAAGGTATATAAATTTTTACATCATTTTAAAGAATGTAATTTTATCTCGCAAAATAGAAAAATTAAGAGAACTCGATAGTTCCTAAGAAATGTAATTTTAAATTAATATTTCTAAAATTATAAAAAAAATATATTTATTTATTTATTTATTTTAAAAAAAAAACTCTTTGTGTCAGATTTTGTAACTTAAAATATCGTCTTCTCATGTCTGAGGTCACCATGTGAGCCATTAAGATTAAGTGTTGGTACCTGAAAATCCAATCATTAGATTTCGAAAGTTATTCAGAGTATTGGGATTTTTTTTTCGCTCTATAGAACAAATTTATTAAGAGCAAAGTAGGAAATCAACTAAAATAAAGAAAGTGTCATGAAATCGGATTATGTTTGAGGAATTTCAGAAGTGAAATTTAATTCGAATGTAAAATAACCCAATGTACCTTCCCTTGTATCAACGGTTTTTAAAAATTTTGTCAGGTATGTAAATATATTAATTAGAATACGGAAAACAGGATTAAATCTCCATATTTTAGAATAATTAATCTACTTACAGTCGTTAAAAGAAATATTTCACACAGCAAGAATTAAAACCAATTAAAAAGGATATATTTTCATACACATAGAGAGTTAGGTACACCTGAAAAACCTGCGGCCCTTAAGGCCACATCATAGACAAAAATTAATTAGACAAACCTACGTAATTAAGGTAAGAACTATATGATAAGAGTTTTTCAAATTAATTTCAATAACTTTGGAAAAAAAGGTGAAAATATAACGTTCAAATTCCAAAATGTGAAAATAATAATTCAAAAAGTCAAAATATTGAACGCTTTCGATGTTTTCATTCAAAATGAAAGATGTACATTATTTACAGTAAAAAGCATAAAAAAAGTTTTTCTACGCAGACATCTAAAACCTGCATTAATTAAACTTTTGTAAAGACAAATTCATTCATTTTTTTTTTCATTCGATAATATTTTGCATGTATAATTTGATGCACTTTTTAATATTTTTAAGAAAAATTGATATTTTGTTCTTAGTAAAATTAGTAAATAGTTAATTAATTAACAATTGATATGAAAACTGAATTTTAAATATCGTATATTCTCGTCCCCAAAGAACTAGAAAATGATCCCAGGAGTTCATTTCCGAATAAAGAACTACTCTTTAGTTCTATATACCCCTACTATATAGTGAGATAAAGCAATCACCCTAAATATTGATCTAATTATTGGATTTTCACGAAATAAATAGGTGCAATGGTTAAAAAAGCAAACTTTATCGTATACATTTATTAAAACTATTTCAAACAGAAACATAAGGGTAATATTTTCTATTTTACTGAAAAAGTAATATCACTTCTTGCATACACTTCTTACATACAAATGCAATACAAAGATTTAAAATTCAATGAGACAGAGAAAAAGAAATATTTCATTCGAAAATAAAATTTATCATCGATTGTAGACAAAAATTGATTTACATAGTTCAGATTAAAATTGCGAGATGGCACCACTATCAATATTATAATTATTAAAATTCAATCGAGATACACTTCGTAACAAAAAATAATTCTTACGAAGATCAAAATATAATTAATTCATGTTAAAAGAAAGCTCTAGCTTTAATCAATTATATTTGATTTAGTGGTAAGTGTAAGCTATAGATTAAAACATTGCATAACTTTAACAAAAAATTTTTAATCGATTTTTATTACCGTTGTTTTTATTCTTTTCAAAAGGTAATTCACAATTTCGAAAAAAAATTAATAAGTTATTTGAAAATGATGGAACTGCTGTATGTAGGATAAAATATTTATAAAGAAATTTATATAATAGCTATAGCTATAAACAATGCTCAAAGAAAAGACAAAATTAAATACTGAATTATGAAAGGAAATTAAAAGTAAGGTTACTTGACCTTAACTGCAGAAAAATTGCTTAAAATGTGGAAACTTACCTACAATCATAATAAATCAACATTATCTATAAAATGCTACAATGCTAAAAATCAAGTTTAAAGTTAGTGTTATCTTCACAAATGCAAAAGTTTTAAATTAATTTAATGCAGATTTTACGCAGAATACAAAAAGATAAATTCTTACTGAAAAGATAATGTTGAATAATGCCATTATAAATCTCAAGTGTAAAATTAGAAAGCAAACTTAAAAATAATTTCTATAGAGAGTACGATTGCAAATTTTTCTTACTTTTTAACATTGTAATAATTACCTAACATTAATAAGTTTCATTTTAATAATTACTAATCAACATTAATTATTGAATTTTAATTTAATAATTAAATATTTTAACTTAACAATTTATTGTTTGAGACAACCAGTCAACTCTCAGACAACCAGTGGAGTTAAACAGAACAAATTTACGCATAATTATGTTATATTTTTGACTATCATATAATGTTATTAATTTTATTGTTATATGAAGTTGACATCACGCTATTTTGTATTTTTAAACTAAGATGGTAAAGTTAACATTAAAAAAAATTGGCTTTCTTTAAATATTATTTAAACACAAATTAATCGCCAAATACAGAAAAAGGCTTAGATACTGCCAACTACTTTTCGAGAAAACTAAAAAGGAAAATATTTTCTGCTTTTCCTATAAAAGCAAAACAAAATTACGCCCATGGTTTAGGTATAATAGCATAAACATAATTTCTTAAGACTTTTTTCACTGATAGTAAAATCAGAAAATAGTTTTCATTTTAGATTTCTCGAAATAAAGTTAGCAGGATTATAACCTTTTATGCATTCAACGATTCAAATACTCCCCTGATTTTTAAGCATTTTTTACTAACAAAAATGTGCTAGCTCTGTCCAATAATCAAATATTCTCAAAATTTACTGTTATTTTTAGTTTCCTCCACTAATGTCGTAGAATATATAAAGTTTCCTATTCACATTTTCCTATTACATTTTTCGACGCAGTTGCCCATTTTCCTATTCAGGTGCCCGCCCTTTTTCCTATTCAGTTGCCCATTTTCCTATTCAGTTGCCCATTTTCCTATTCAGTTGCCCATTCACATTTTTCTATCAAATTTCATATTCATCTATTAAATTTCATGTTCACGCCTACGAAAGCGTATACTACTTGCACATTTCAGTATCAGAAGTATGCAACAAATGTAGTATAACAACATTATACAATCCTACATTGCAAACTGAAATTTAGTTTTAAAAAAAATACAAATACTACTTACAGGAAGTTTACTACTGATTAGCAATTCCACAACAACATTCCTGAGCGTGTCTCTATTTTTGTCCAGAAAGCCATCTACTGAATACCACACTTGACCAGCATAGTGTTTCACACCGAATTCCATGGAAGACATTCTAGGACGACTGTACAACTCATTGAGAGCATGGTTATAATGGCACTTCTCTAAGAAAGACAGATCAGTTGCCTGAAGAAAAAAAATAATAAATAATTATAAGTCGTATTGTTACACAATATCTTTCACATACCAATCATAAAAACCTTAATACCGCGAAACTTCCGACAGTTTATGGAGTTAGAAATAGAAATATGTACCAGTTCACTAGTTGTAACAAAAAATTGCTGGTGATTTTAAATAATAATCCATTATAAAAAAAAGCAGAAGGGGTTGAAAACTTATGGTTAGTAACATTCTGCTTAGAAAACAGACAGACAAGGCTAATCGTGGGAGGTTCTCGTGGTCTTCCTCTCCATGTAACACAAATGCGGGTTAGCTCTATCAAAAAGTCCTCCACGAAGGCAAATTTCCCAAAATACTCGATCTAGGAGTTCCTTTGTCTTCTGGATTGGGTTCAAAATTACAAGGCTACGGAGTTCAACATTAGTAACCGTAAACCCATAGAATTGGGTCGACTGTTCAACGACGGTTATAAAATAAAATAAAATGGATTCTCACCAAATATCAAAATTAGTAACGAATTTCATCTACAGATGGTGCTTCTAAGAAAGTATTAATCAATGTATAAGACCAATTTATCTGAAATATGCATGGAATCTAAAATATTTGTTCTAAGAGGATACAGCGTTGTCTTTGCAAATGAAGGTTATTTTAAAAATAAGGGCTCATGGTTTTTCCTAATTAGAAAAGCTATACCTGAGCAAGATTTGTAACTAATTTTAAAACTTTTTTTTAATGAATTATCTGGTTTCTTATGCAGCAAAATACTCATTTTCGACTTCTGTACTTTTGTAATTGTTTTTTTTTTTTTACTAGTCGCCATTTTTAAACCACATGGTTTTAAAATCTATATTTTAATGACGCTTAATATATTTAAGTAGAAGTTTTGAATTTCCTTCAATAAAAACCTACATTAGACATAGTATGAATCTCTGAATTCGCCACAGCTAGGGCAAAAAAATATTATTCAAATTTAAATGTTTTCATATTTTTTTTGTACATGAGATTAATAAGACTATAGTCGTTAACTTGCTCATCTAACTACATTGCACTGAGAGCAAAAATACCAATCTTTAAATGTTTTTAAACAAAAACCAAACTAAGAAACAATAATAATTACATTCTGTTCCGAAATTATAAAGATAAATTAAAATTTAGGAGAAAAAAGCTCTTATTTGCTGATTTTATAACTATGATTCGATTTTATAATAATTACGTGTAAGCTCAACCTATCATCATAAAATTATTACAGTGAGTTAGTTCTACAAAAAATAAAATAACAGATTTGGTAAATTAAATTTTTAATGGAGACTTTCTAAAAATTCCATTAATAACATAATCATTCGCCAAAAATCTTTTTTGCTAGCCAAGTTTAATTTATTTTTAAACCTGATTATTATTATTATTATTATTTTATAACTGTCGATGAACAGAAGACCCAATTTTGGGTTTACGACTATTAATGTTCAACTCCAAATCCTTCTAATTTAGAACCTAATCCAGAAGACAAGGGAACTCCTGGATCAAGTATTGGGAGAAATTTGCCTTCGTGGAGGAATTTTTAATGGAATTAATCCGCATTTTAGTTTGCATGGAGAGGAAAACCACGAGAATCTCCCACGGTAAGCCTGACGGCAAGGGGACTCTAACCCATGATCCGTCTAATACTGAGGATATTTCACGTCAGCACTGCGGTCGGTGCAAGTCGGATGCGGAACTCGTATCCCAGCCATCGCCGGGATTCGAACCCGGTTCACCTCATTGGAAGGCGAACGCTCTTTCCTCTTAACCATCGCGGCTCTAAACCTGATTATTTTATTTTATAACCGTCGTTGAACAGCAGACCCGATTTCGGGTTTACGACTGCTAATGTTCAACTCCGTAGCCTTGCNCTCTAACCCATAATCCGTCTACCACTGAGGATATTTCACGTCAGCACTGCGGTCGGTGCAAGCCGGATGCGGAATTCGTATCCCAGCCATCGTCGGGATTCGAGCCCGGTTCACCTCATTGGAAGGCGAACGCTCTATTCCCTGAGCCATCGCTGCTCTAAACCTGATTATTTCATTTTATAACCGTTGTTGAACAGCAGACCCAATTTGATGGGTTTACGACTACTAATGTTCAACTCCGTAGCCTTGTAATTTTGAACCCAATCCAGAAGACAAGAGAACTCCTGGATCAAGTATTGGGAGAAATTTGCCTTCGTGGAAGACTTTTTGATGGAGCTAACCCACATTTGCGTTACATGGAGGGGGAAGATCACGAAAACCTCCCACGGTTAGCCTGATGGCAAGGGGACTCTAACCCATGATACATCTACCACTGAGGATATTTCACGTCAGCACTGCGATCGGTGCAAGCCGGATACGGAATTCGTATCAACTGGGATTCGTACCCGGTTCGCCTCATTGAAAGGCGAACGCTCTATCCCCTGAGCCATCGCGATGCGCATATATGAGTATTACACACACACCATAGTGCTTTCTAATATTGTATTAATGCAGCCAAAGCAAAAATATATCAATACAGTTGTATGAGGAGCACCAAAAAATTTTAACGGAAATAGAACATATTAAACAAATAATGCAAACCAAAACGGATTTTTTATTTTATTTTGCATATTATATAGTCATGAAATTACCTTAGGAAAGTTGCTTTCATCGTCTAAAAGTGGAAGAATGCCAACTGGTTTCTTGGCTATAAGATTGAGCACAGGTTGGTTGTCTTGATAGTTTATAGGTTGCCATTCTATTCTTTCTTTGGCATACTCTTGTTGCTCCAACTTGAACACGTGTTTATTGAAATAGTACTGCAATGTTTCGTTGGCATAATTTATACAAAGTTGCTCGAAACTGTTTTCTTTGAAGTCCTAGTTTGAAAATGAAAATCAGAAGTTAATGTTGATAGCACAAATTATTGCGTTCTTAAATTAACCTAAAAAGTATCCATCTTAAAAATTAATTTCATTTTTAAGATTGAATCTAATCTATAGCTAACTGTCATAAGATCTGGAATTAGCTGTGCGGCCTCAAAATGTAAGCGAATATACGTTTTCTCTACTTAGAAAAATCTAACGATATCTTAAACTAAGTTTGGTGTTTTCACTAAAGTCGCAAGGGGAAAAAAAGAATACAGTTACAAGTAACAAAAATATTAGTGATTGAGAAATGTTTATAGAGTTATCAAACTGATTATAGAGCTATTTAGATTTACTACTTATGTCAATGGTAATTTGAAACAAGAATAAACGTGACTGAAGAAAAAGAAATACCATAAATCGAAGCTAATTCTCCGCGTTTTGAAAATATAATTTTTAGAGCTCAAACAAGTTCATTAAGTCTAAAAAAATTTAAATTATTGTTTCCGTTATTCTTTTATTGCCATTAAAGAACTTGTTCCAAGTAATGCACTGATAAATCGGGGAAACTTAGCCATGTTTTGCAAAATGATTATTTTTTTTAGTTCTGATGAGCTTCTTAAGGAGGAAATAAAAAAGGTTTTTAAACCTTTATTCAGATCCTAAGAAAGGTTTCAACAGCTATATTTTTCCAATCTGGCAAAGTTGCCTTGATTTACGGATACCGTAAACGGATACCGATAAATAGAACTATTGTCTTATCTATTACTTCTTTAAAAGATTTGATAAGGTATCAGTAATTCTTTATTAAAAATACGAAAAGTAATATTTTTTTTAATTCTAAAGTCGTTGCGGAACGTTACTGTATTATTTACTTTTATAGTACTTTACATTTTGCTTTAACTTTGCGTAAACTTAAACTACAATATGTAACAAAATATTGATTAGCAATGAAATCAATTTTAAATATAGCATCATCTTTCAATTTTAACAAATATTTCTAAACTATAATATCACATAGTTTTAAGAGTAAATCTGTTTAAAAAAAGCAGTAAATTTAAAATAAATTTGAAATAAAATTGCATAATACATTTGAAAATTTATAAAAATTACATGCAATAAATAATTCGTACCTCAAACCCAAATATATCAAGAATCGCTATAGAGGTCTTTCTAGGCCCTTTGAACACAATATTGTTGACTCTTTGTACTAGCCAAGAGAACAGACTGGAGTATAGAGCTTTAGCTATAGCATCTCTATAATTAAAAAAGAGAAAATGTAAATAGCATGCTCTATTTTTGAATATAGTTTGACCATACGCAACTTGTTATGTACATATTTAAAGGAAACAGTCAATTTTTCGATAAAATTTATAATTTTAAAGCACAAGCTGAGTTTCATATCAAAATATATTGATTTTAAATACAATTCAGGAAGATACTCCCTTTTTAGATGATTTGGGATTACATACTCTTTTTTTCATGCTTCAGAAAAAAAAATGTGAATTGCAAGATTATTTTTTTCCAGCTTAAATATTGAAGATCAATAACAATTACTGTTTATTCGGATTTTTTTAATAAATATTCATTTGTGTTTTGACTTCAACTAATCAGGTAATGAATTCCTTTTCGACAAATATTACAAATATATTTGGCAAATTATTAAGAGAATACTTTGTGTGTTTCATTCTATGTTATTAATTAGTTTATAGAAATTAGATTTCTATTAGTATTTGAGAGTAATTTTCACACAAAATATTTTATTATATAAAATTTCGCAAAAATTTCATTTTTCTGAAGCTACAAGTGCTATTAATTTGCTCATTTCTTACTTTCAACTTTAATATCTATTTATTCATTTATTTTCCGTCATTATTCTTCTTTGTTAGCAAGATAGCCTAAAAGTAGTCTCCAGTTGGTAGTTTTTTCTATTATGAAATGAGCATGATTTTAAGATATTTTTCCTACACGGAGTTAATCCATCTCGTATTAGGTTTACTCTTTTTTGTACTAGTAATTTTACCAACGGCCAATTTATAAACTCCTTTTAAAATTTTGCTAAAATTCTCATTCGTTTTCTCAACATAATCAAACTACAAACTTTCCACACTAGTTATCCGATATCAGATGTAGAATAATACACATAACGTTAACAAAATTCTAATTAGCGCACTTTCAAGGTGTTTTTATGACTTAATTATATATGGATACGCATATGTTTAATATTAATAACACTATGCATGAATTTACTATTAAATTAAATAAAAAACTTTCGAATATTCACTGTAAACAAAATTTCATGACTCTTATGTAGTTAATGAAATAAAACTTATATTTAATAAATTAAGAAAGTTCACAAAAACCGTAATTTTTCTTATTCAATTATAAGACCGTAATCTTGACTACGAAATCGCAAAAATTAAGGATAAATCATAATATTTGGCACCTCTGAAAATATTATTACACATATTTTTAATGCCTTTAATTAAATCTCCTCTAAAATTTTAAGCAACTATTTAAAAAATTTCACACCTTTTTAACTCCATAAAATTGCTTTGGAGATTCGAATTTAGACAATATTCTTAGTAACATGAAGTTTGTCTTTCAATTTTTAATAAAATATCTTACCTAGCATCTAATGCCTGATCAATATTCAAAGGAGTGACGACTCGTTCATTTCTGGCTTCCTAAAAGAAAAATAAAACTCGAATTAGATTAATGAAATTAACTAAAATTCTAAAAAGAATTCCTAAAAATGATCAAAGTAATACTTTTATTAGAGTTCAAGAAATAGCGCTACGTCTCATGAAATTAGCAGGAAAAATTATTTTCTCGCAATGTGCAGCTATGACATTTGATTGTGAAGCATAGTTAACTATTCCTATACGACCCGTGTTATTAACTTTTAGGGCAGTTTGAGAAAACTACTAATGGGAAAAAAATTCTGGTAAAATTATCGAACTGTGCGGTAATGACATTTCTGTTTAAAAAACATATTTCTGGTTAATAAAAAAAATATACGTTATTTAAATCATTTTTTTCTTTTATTTTTTCGTTCACATGATAACGGTTTACTGGAAATTCTGATTTTAAAAATTATAGTTTGTATAACCACACCTTTAGAAAAGAAATACGAAACCGAAAAGCAAATATAACAGAATAAATGAGTGTTCTAAGATATCCTGCTAAAATTATTAAATTTTACCACACCACATTTTATTGAATATTATAAAAGCCTATTTTATTACTAATTTTACCAAAACCATTACCAAAGTGCTGGTAAAAAGAGTTTCTTGGTGTTCCCATAGAGCCAAAAACACGGTAAATCTTACCATATTCAGGTACTTTGACCACACTTTTTTTCCCGATGCCGAAACCATTATCAAAACTTTTTGGTTCTCTACTTCTGTTTCAAAACGATTTTTTTAAATTCAAAAATCTTAAATTTTAGATGTAAGCGTCACAAAACGGACTTTGAACGCAAATAATAAAAAGAAACATTTAAAACTTTTTAAAACAAAAAACATGGGTAAGTATCTATACTTTCAAAAAATTAACGTTAAACCATTAAATCACTACCTTCCACCGTAAAATGGAGTAAATATTCTGCTACCTTAATTCGATATTTTGTTAAACCATCCTTCCGTTAATGTTGAACCAGCGTAAAATTTATTACAGTACAATAACATGGTTGGTTCAATATTGCAGCGAATTCTCACGATATTATGGTTTAACGCGATCCAAAATTCGGTGATTGTGGATCGTGTCAGATCTACTAATTCGGTATTTTATTATTATTATTATAATTATTATTTACAATGAAAGGAACAATCAGACAGGAAATATTTCAGTAAACCGGGATCACATAGTCCGTAATGGCAACCAAAAAAACTATTAATAATAAATCCACACAAGAAAATTTTTAAAAAAAACACACAGAAAACTGTATATACAAAAGTAAAATGCACATAAACAAGATGTCGTTTATTAAATAAAAATTCACTGTCAATATACATTTTGTAAAGCATACAAGGTGAAAAAATAAAGTTAAAAGTTCTCAATTTCATTAATAGTAAATAAAAATTTCTTTAATTTCTGTTTAAATAAGTCTTTGTTTGGAGCGTTTTGCGAATCAGGGGGAACACTATTGAAGAATTTAGAAGCGAAATAACTGAATTTAGAAGCAAACATATTCTTCTTCCTTGTAGTCTGTATGCGAGTGCCCGAATGAATTTAAAGACTGATTTGAGACGTCTTTCTATTGGTTGGCCACCTGTCTTATCAGAACTGGTCAAAAGTATTGAAAGTCTTGCGGCCTTTACCTACCAAAAGTACCTTTNTTAGGCATTGTTAATTGTTATATTTTATCAGGTCGACTATTTAATATTTTCGCGTTTTCTACTCTAGTTCCGAGTTCATATATAAATATCGACAAGCTTTATAGAAGAAAAAAAGACGACTACTCGAAAGGATGTTTAAGCTTTAAAATGACTAATATATATTGTACTGTAGATAAAGCATTTGAAATTTTGGAAAGCTGTGCAATGATTGATGAACGAAAATTACTCGAGCTTCCGAATGAATCATCAATAAATCTGGCTTTAAATTGACCCGAAAAAAATGCCGACTATAAATAAGAAAGTAGGAAAAAAAACGGACAACATTGGCATTTTTTTTTTTTCAAGTCTGGGTACATTTTACAGCAGACTGTTTTTCATGGTCTTATAGTCAAGCTTAACTTATTTGCCTTATATCAACATTCTGCATTTTCAAATTGCAAAATCAGTAGTTATGATAGCATTTTTAATTTATGCGTAATTTATTCCGATAAATATTTTAAATTGATAGATACAATATTCTTCTTACATACTGTACATCCATTTAAAGTAAATTTATTTGTATGATAGAAAAATAGAGTGTACCGTTGTTTTTGTTGTCATCGCTCGCAAAATTCCATCTAAAGATAGCTGAAGTAAGTGGGATGCCCATCTAATTTCTGCATCACTGCCTATCTCAACTCCTTCTTGACCATGTTTCAACTAAAAAACAACACAATACACTAACTTAAAACATATATATAACCCAATATAAATACTTTTATGCATTGTAAAAATTGTGGTGCAATATCTCTCCGAATATGATATTAAACAAACTAAAAAAATATGTGATAGAATAATACTTTGCTAACACCAAATCGAGCATTCAGATTCTACTTAAAGGGTGCAATTTAAGTTTAGACATTTAAATTAAATAATCTAACACTAAACGTTCACGCTTTGCTTTCCGAAAGAAAAATCATTGTTGGTGCCGTTTGAATATCAAGAAATACTAAGTATAGTTTGTCTAAAATAAGTACACCTCCAGATCTCCGTCTAGACCTGTGGCGGTGACTATAGTAATGAGGTATGACTATTTCAAGTAGGGGTGCGGGGTTACTGTTTTGGATTGGTTTCGGCTCGGGTCGGCGAGAGATAGGGAATCTCTTTTTTCGGTCTATTGTGTTAGTCCTAAAGTAAAGCCACCCTCCCTAAAATGCGCCATTCTTGTTTCCATAGCACCAGGCAGCCTCAGACTTTGTAGCGGGAGGAGTCCTTAGCTTAGACAAACTATGGAATATCGCTAGTAGTTTGTTTACAATCTGCAATGAGCCAGAGAGAGTTAGTCATTTCCATCGCTGATATTCATCAACAAAAATTCACAGTTAAATGTGTAGTAAGGATTATATATTATCTATTCAGAATTATTATATTACAATTTTTAAATCACTGAGAATTGCATTAACTGGTTTTATAATGCATAATTTCATTTTTTTCTTCCAATGCCCACCCGATTGACACTCGTCATTCAGGTATAATTAAGGCATATTTGTTGGCCACTCTCTCAGGGGCATCATACTAGGTGGGCTAACGTTGCTTCCACAGTAAGGACAGATAGTAGAAAGAATGAAAGAACATCCATACCTTGTCTGGGACACATCTGATTGGCCCATCTGATTGAGTTGACCAAACCCCCCAAAAAACATCACAGAAAATTGAATTAAGCCTGGAGAGCGCGGTAACCATAGAAGAAGTTGATTGTCGTCATCTAATTGCGCTCAATTCAGCGTTGTTTTGGAAATCACGATCGGATATTGAGGGGATGCTTAATCTTGTTGGAAAATGGATGATGCATAATTTTCCAATATTTGTGACATTAACCGCATATCCAGGTAAACAACGTCATTAATTGCAAATAGAACTGAATAGAATTGAAGTCTGTCGCCTCACCAAATGTGGTTCAAATATTGAACATTTGTAAAAAAACATGTAATGCTTCTTTATCAAGAAAAGCAAAATTTGTTAATGTATTGGTAATATTTTGTTTGTTATAAACCTTCGAAATTTCGGAGGAAATTGGAACACGCCTTGTTTACCTCCTTGCTATGCGAACTGACAGGTTGAAGGTTCTGTCTTCGCTGTCGCTACTTGCTTTTTACAAAATTTCTAAATCTGAATCGGATTTACGCATGAAGCAAAACCATTGGTAACATACCAGTGATTGTTTTTATATTTGTTAGTTAATATTAAAATTTCAAGTATTCATACGTTACTAGAAAATTTCGAAAATTAGTCATACTTGTTTTCTGTGGAAATAAATGTTTCCTAAATGAAGTACAGATGCAAGAATGCGGAATATGGTATCTTGTTCTTCGGATGTGAAGCTTAAGACCTGCATAGCTGCTAATAGAGCTCGGAAATCCTCGGCATCGTCTTTTGGCTTGATCTTAAAACATCCACCCTATAAACAAAAGAAAGGAGAAGAAAAAAAAATTTTAATATAGCATTTTTTTAAACAATAATTATACATCATATACGTCTCTTTGATACGAAGCTTACAACTCGTAAAAAAGTTTCATACACAAAATTTTCAATTTAAAATAAATCACTTTCATATGAGCAATTAACTAATGATACCACAATTATGAAAGTATCAAGTGGAATTAGAATAATTAGAATCTTATAAACTAACGGGCATTATACCAACAATTGTAGATTTTTTTTTTAAATTTACCTGATTGAGGTAGAAGTAGTTATCGGCACTTGGCAAACCATATTTTTCTTTCTCTGAATCCGATAACCCACGTCTCTTTGATGCGAAGCTTACAACTCGTAAAAAGGTTTCATACACAAAATTTTTAATTTAAAATAAATCACTTTCATATGAGCAATTTACAAATGATACCACAATTATGAAAGTATCAAGTGGAGTTAGAATAATTAGAATCTTATAAACTAACGGGCATTATACCAACAAATGTAGATTTTTTTTTTTTAAATTTACCTGATTGAGGTAGAAGTAGTTATCGGCACTTTGCAAACCATATTTTTCTTTCTCTGAATCCGATAACCCACGTCTCTTTGATACGAAGCTTACAACTCGTAAAAAGGTTTCATACACAAAATTTTTAATTTAAAATAAATCACTTTCATATGAGCAATTTACTAATGATACCACAATTATGAAAGCATAAAGTGGAGTTAGAATAATTAGAATCTTCTAAACTAATTGTCATTATACCAACGAATGTAGATATTTAACGAACAAATTACCTGATTGAGGTAGAAGTAGTTATCGGCACTTTGCAAACCATATTTTTCTTTCTCTGAATCCGATAACCCACTTAGCATTTCGTAAAAAACGTGATAATTTCTTTCATCAGAAGCCTAAAATAACAAGGAAAAAAATCAATCTATGAAAAATATAAATAAATATTTTGAGTAATATATATATGAAATAACTATACATTTATTTAAGACATTTGGTAAGCTTAAGACCTTTTCGAAGATTTGATTTCGAAAATATCACATCAAAATACTAAAATTTTGACGATAGATAAATTGCAGTGATAATTCAGTCTCCCTTCAGGATATTTTGTCGTCATTTTGTTTGAATGCTTATAATATTTTTTCTTAGAAGATCTTGGGGAAATTAAATATGTTTGGAAAAATTCATGATTTTTGCAAAGTTTATTTAAAGTGCAACCAACAGTAACAATTATAGTATAATAATAAAAATAATAATAGTACAAATAGTTTTTGAAATATATTTGCTGTTACTATATCAATGATCAAACGAAACTGAGACTATTTCAAAAATGTCCTTAACGCTTCGAGTTTTTTTTCTTCCTTGCACTTTAGTATGCCTATTGTTGAATCTGGTGGGGAAAAGATTACGAATTTTCAACACAAATGTCAGCAAAGATTAAAAAATCAACTTTTTAATAATTTTTATTTAATATAGCTAAAAGAAAGCATGTATTGGAGGTCTAAATTTAAGTAGGACAATTTAAATAAATTTATGAAACCTTCAGTTTTAGTTTTTTGATTATATAAATATATTAAAGTCATACATAACAAGATTTTAGCGTGTTAAATAATTTATCAAATTAAAAAACTGCTTTATTTTCAATTTAAAACTTTGAGATACTAGAGTCTGAAATTCTTCTCTTTTTCCAAAAAATGAGGAAAAAAAACACTAAACTAAGTTAAACAACTGCAAATTTTAAAAGAACGAAATGAAAAGAGTTATGTTTGAGAATCGAAAAAGTAAAACTAATTTTGAAATTTCATCAAAAAATGCCATTAACCTAAATACAGTCAATCTAGATAAAGAAAATATGTCAAATATTTGGTAAAAACTACATCAATCAGATGCAAAATTTCAAACTAGTAAAATTATCCTGAAAAATCTAAAGATATAAAAAAGAAATGAATTTCAATTAATTGTAGTCTAGCTTTATCGTTCAGAAAACTAGTTTTTGTCATTTTTTGGCATTCCTCATTTTAACAATCAAATAAAACTAAAATATCATAAAATCTTACCTGAGTAACTATTCGAGACTTTTCTAGTAGGTACTCTGTACTCCTTGCTCCCGTTATTACACCACTAAAATAAAGATCATAAAATTTTAAAATATGCTTCTATTCTTAACCTAAACATTTCTCAAAAATTAAAAAATAGGGGAAAGTTTTAAACGTTATTAATAATTTTATCTTTGAATTAAACTAACAGATATTAAACAAACAAATGATAATTCTTAAAACACTGCACCAAAAATTAATGTATATGTCATTAAGAGTCATAGAAAAGTCTTCAAATACTTATCCTCTTGAGAACGTTTAATTGGACTACTTTAATAACACAAGACTGTCGAAATGATGGGATTTCAATTTTTGGAGGTGTTCTCCAATAAATTAAGTTCACAAAAACTTCCAATAAGCTTATTAAAGTTTTAAATAAAAAAATTGATGGAAAAAAAAGAAGTTATGGTTCATATGCCAAAAGACTAATAATTTTCAGATGGGTTAAAAAAATATTTAAAAACAAATAATAAACTCCGTGAGCAATTTTCATTTATCTCCGAAACCATCCATATTTCCTAAGCAGTAAAAATATGAAAAATAGAATTTGGTTTGAACAATAGTTAATATAATTCAAAATTTTACACATATCTAAAAATAGTAAAGCATTCCCTTTAGGACCAAGGTGATCATGAAGGTTAAGACTCCGAAATTCCGTGATCAACGGCGTGGTTGTAACATGATCAGAAGTGTGCAAAAACAGCTTTTACTTTCCAAACAAGCTGATACCGATCTATATGAAGATGGGAGAACTTCAAGCCCCCCTTGAGAATCGAACCCCAGTTCCTTATATTGACAGCTCATTGCTTTTAACCACGGAACCATCGTAGTGCATTACACATACACATAACTACATTTCTCAAAAGAAAGTATCTTTCGAAAATATTTTTAATTTCAAAAACATTCCAAAAGTTTAAAAAAATTATGCAAATAGATACCTTTATTATTAATCTTTTTACCTTTATTAAAAGAATTATTAATTTTATTAATTATAATTAATGAAATTATTTAATAATTCTACTAATTAATTCATTATTAATTTTATTGAATTAATTATTTAAAATACTTACTCTTTAAAATGCACTTCCATATATTTTCCAAATCTACTGGAATTATCGTTTCTGACTGTTTTGGCATTTCCAAATGACTCCAACAATGGATTGGCTTCCAAAATTTGTTCTGTAATTAAGTTACTTGGCGACTTGTTCACGGCTGCAAGATACTGCATTATCAGCTTCGTACTTTCTGTCTTCCCCGCCCCGCTTTCGCCGCTAGATGGTAGAAGGAAAAAAACGATCACAAATTGGCCCCATTTGGTCGCGAACAATTAAGAAAAGTTGTCAATGCAATTAAAAAGCAGTCACGTATTAAAGAATGCTTGAAAGATACTAAGTCTTTCTTAGAACAGTAGATCTATTTTTAAAAGCAAATTGTGGCAGAAATGATACGCGAGTTGTTTCTGCATAATTTAGAAAAATTTATTTAGTTTATGGTTTATTTCAAAGAATTAAATTGACAATTTGAAAATAAAGAATGTCTGAAGTGCGTTATATCTTAATCTTAATGTCGATTGTCAACCAATTTCCTTATAATTAATGAATATCAGAAGCGGAAATAACATGAATAATATGTTTTTGTTTTCCTTCATAATTTCAAAATAAAACTATATAGAGAGTGAATGATATGGGAGTAAGGCTAAGATTAAATGTAACAAAATAAGCTAAATTATCACTGAAAATTTGTCACAAAGGAACATTTTTAATTAAAAACACCTTAAATATTGAAAGATAAAACTGATACCAAATTTCTTTTTTAACACTTATGTAAGAACTAAGAGTAAAAAAATTATTCGGAAAAAAGGGTAATAATTAATATTATTATTATTGCTTTATGTTATAATTATGATTTCTTATTAATAATAATGACAGCCATAATTAGTTTTCTTAATGACTACAATCAACCAAAATAAATATATAAATTATTTAAAAAAGAATCAGGGTTGCAGGAAATATGTTTACTCTATTCTGTTATTTTATGTAACATTTATGATTTTAGAATTGTTTGAAAGATTTTTAAAAAAAAATCGGGTGATGAAAGCTAGTGAAACATTTAAAAATTAAAAACTGATATTCCTTACCTGATAACAACAACTTGATTTTCGTTATCTTTGCTCATTTTGCCATATGCTGAGCTCCCAATTGCAAATAAATGCCTAAGAAAAGAAAGTCAGTTTTATAAGTATATCAACTCAATATTAACTCAGTATATTAACTCAAAGTATATTGTATAAGTATATTAACTCAAATATTTACCACGAATTAACAAATATACGACGCTGTACTCAATATTAATTCAGTATATTAACTCAAAATAACTCAATATTAACTCAGTATATTAACTCAAAGTAAGTATATTAACTCAAAGTATATTGTATAAGTATATTAACTCAAATTTTTTACCACGAATAAAAAAATATACGACGCTGTATTAACTCAGTATATTAACTCAAAATAACTCAATATTAACTCAGTATATTAACTCAAATTTTTTACCACGAATAAAAATATATACGACCACAAACTTTTCGCATAACATACTTAAATTGCTTTATTGAATCACATTGTATAATTGAATCGCATTTTCACTATTTTTGTCAGCAGAATTATAACTTTAAAAAAAAGGTAATTAAAATTATGCTTAACAAGATATGCAACAAATTTTTACGGTTTATTTAACTTTCTTAATTAAAACACATAGTGATATCTATTTTTGTTAATAGCGCAACGATAAACGCTATAATCAGATACAAAATTAAGCAATAAAATTAAAAATTCCTTACATCATTTTTTTTATCGCATTGTATAATTGAATCGCATTTTAACTATTTTTGTCAATAGAATTATTTTAAAAAAAGGTAATTAAAATTGTGCTTAACAAAATATGCAACAATTTTTTAAAGATTATTTAAATTTCTTAATAAAAACACGTAGTATTATCTATTTTTATTATTAATGCGACGATAAACGCAATAATCAGAAACAAAATTTAAAAACTCCTTACAGCATTTTTCTTTTAAAAAAATAACTCGAATAAACTTTCTTATTGTGGTAACTACTTTTCAAAGTAATCGCCAATGATGGTAGTAACACTTACAGATACTAATTACTAACAGCAATAACCAAATGCATTCCAAAGACAGTAAACTGCTAAAAGATAGTTGTAATGTAAAAGTTAAATTGCATAGATGAAAGAGAACTACCTCAAGCCATAAATATCGAAATCAAAATTTATTAATAATATTTTGTGGATCAATACTTAATACCATAGGAAATAGTCGAAAAACCCTGAATTAAAATTTTTATTTTAATTCAGATTTAATTAAGACAAAAATGTTTTGAGGTCATATTTTCGAATTTTTCAAAAGGTTTAAAAATTTATAAAATTATTGCGAGGCAATATAATACCGGAGAGCTTTAAAATCTAAAAATTATGCAAGATATTAAAAAAAGCGTTCTTTACCAAATTATTAGCTGAATTTAATAAATTAGTAAAAACTCAAACAATCTTTATAATAACATTGAAAAGCTACTTTCGGGCAAAGATTTGAAAATGAAAAAAGGCTACATTATGAGCCGGGACTTAATACTTTTGGCTATAAGGAAAATTTAAAAGAAATAATTACTCAAACGCATAAGAATAATATCCCCAAAAATCTGCATCGAAATTCAAATAAACTTATAGAGTTTATGATCAAGTTCTATAATTCACAAAAAAAGCGATCTGCATCGAAATTCAAATAAACTAATAGAATTCATGAATAAGTTCTGTAATTCACAGAGACAAACGTTTTCAAAATTCATCTGTTCATTAAATAGTAGATCGGAGAATTGACCATACTATGTACATTAAATTATTATAAGGTAAATTAAGTTATATCAGGAAATTCATATAATGTAATTAGCATAATAAGTGTATGAAAAGATGTTCATGCAATTTTCACTGTTAATCACAGGATTCCTTTTCTTTTTATCTTGGATTTAATTTCGAAAACTAACATGAATTGCCTGCTATTTTTCTTTAGAAAATTAAGTAAATTTCGAAGTATTTTCCCCTAATACATTGGAATTATATAGCACATTTTCTAGTTTTATCAACTGTAAGCTCTATACATTCGGTTTATTATTAAGTATAAAATAAATGAATATTTGCAAGTATTATAAACATTCCTAAAATCTGTAATAATATCCATATTAAGTCATAGAATTTATAAATAAGTTCATTAATTCACAAAAGCATCAAAACGTTTACAAAACATCTCTATATTGAATATTACTGAAGAATTAGCCTAACGATATCACAGGCCAATAAAGTACCAAAACAATTATATAATTTTAAGTATGAAAAAGAAGAATCCTGTAATTAACATAGCATGCATTCTAAATTGTTTACAATCATGAACAATTACTGGTAACGAAAGAATTATTGAACGCAAACAATACCTGGTTAGTTAAAGAAAAAGTCACTTCAGATTAAGATATCTAAAACCACGTAATCCATATAAAGTTCACAAGATAGTTCCAAAATTCATAAAAGCACCTATACGTTCACATACAGTATCATCTTTACCTTCAGTAAAATCACCGGATGATTTAGCATACGGTATCGTTTGTGTCAATGCGGCATGGGACAAAGAAAGTACTCGCATTTCTTACTGACCTCTTTGATTAACTGACCAGAATAAGGCGTGAAGAACTCTCTCCCAAAACAACAGAAGGAAAAATACAAACCAATAAAAGCGATTTTCGAAGAGAACAAAAAGCGCGTGGAAGTTTTTTGCATTTGTCGCATAACTTTATGTCAGCCATTTTCATTTTTTCCCACGCATGAAGGGTTTTGTGTTCTTATATATTCGGCATTATCATATCGTGTTCTGTCATTTCATATTTAAGTAAACTATACGTTGAAGTCACGCTTCGAATGAATCAGTGAAACTGTACAAAACATTTGTATTCTCTGGGAGATTTAGACAATAAACCGAATTTAAAAGTAATTAAAGGGATATTTTGTAACAAAAAAGAAAGCAGGATATAAAAATATTAGATCCTAATTTTACGTTTACTCAAAGAAAATGGAAACTTTGTCTCTAGTAGCATTATTCCTGGAAACAATGTCAGCGCATGACCTTAGAAATTTTGTGTAAAGCAATCAGCAACAATGCGCAGTTGAGTAAAATAGACGCAACATGAAAAACGTTTCTACAAAATCCGGCAATCAGAACTTCAGAAATTTCGTGTAAAGCAATCGGCAACAATGCCCAGTTGAGTGAAATGGACGCAACATGAGAAACGTTTCTACAAAATCCGGCAATTAGAACTTCAGAAATTTTGTGTAAAGCAATCGGCAACAATGCCCAGTTGAGTAAAATAGACGCAACGTGAAAAACGTTTCTACAAAACCCGGCAATTATATTCGAAAGCCGCTAATTCTATTGCTGATAAAATATTACTTCTGAAATTCCTGGTGTAATTCTTTGTATATTAATGATAAGTAATATTTCTAACATTTCAATCAATAGCTAAAAGAATCAGGGGGACAAAAAACAAAATACCCCTAATGTATAAAGCAAAGTACGACTAGATCCATGTTATGGCATTTTTATTCTGTTTCTTCTCTTTAACTTAATCAGTTTGCTTAAATCACAATAAACAGAATTATCTTGATATTCTTCGCTATCGACTAAAGAAAGCAACTCTACAGGGTTACGAAAAACCCAACCCGGGTGGGCTTTTCTGGGTTTTCTTGGGCTTTTTTTCAAAAGAGAGGTCAGGGATAAGTACCTTATTTTAAAAAAAAGCTTATTTTAATATTAATAATTAAGTCTAAATTTCATGAATTGACTTAACATATAGGTAATTAAAGTGTAATTGATACAAATAAATTGGTGCAAAAGTCTGAAAAAAGTTTCTTTTGACATCACGATACAAAATTTTATATGTACTCGCATACATCGCACATTTGAAACTTATTTTAATACAAGATTACTTTCACTTATTTTCTAATCTTAAAAAATATTTGAGGAAATAATTTTTTTGCATTGAAAGCGAATCAAAGGCACTCACTAATCAATGGCCATAGTCATATCTAACCAGCAAGGTGATTGTCCAGTCTCCAAACACAGTTTTTTCACTATAGGCTCATTTTTTTAGGCTAGACTACATATATATTTCAATAGAATAGCTCTTTAATATAACAGAGGATAAAAACGAAATCAATTTTCGAAAACCCCAGTAAAACCCACTTTAGGATGGGTTTTACTGGGGTTTTCTGAGTGGGTTTTACCCAGTAAAACTCGCCGGGTTTTACTGGGTAGGTTGGTTTTTTGCAATATTGAATGCCTATTACAAATCTGAAGTAACATTTTAAAAAATTCAGTTTCTTTTTCCCTATTGATGCTAATGAAAATGCTAGAAATGTTCTATTTTAATTATCAAAATCGAAGGTTATAATGTCAAAATATGATAGCTATAGAGGAGAGTGAATCATACAGGTTTAATTTATGGCAAAACATGATAAACTTGTATTTCTACATTTCAAAAAATCACCATTATTAGATAATTTGATTAAGATTAACGTAAATGTGGTGAAAAAAAATTGTCTACCCCATTTAATACAACAATATTTGACGACGAACACAATTTAATAATAAATAAATAATTAAAATTCTGACTTCAGATAAGAACACCATTGATAATTGTTCACTCATTTTTTTAAAACTTTATTTGGTAGAATTTCACTTCATCTGCTGGATTAAAGCAATTTTAACGAGAGTGTTGAAGATTATGACGGTGGTGGACATTAAAAAAACTGTGGTGGACATTAAAAAAACTGCGGTGGACATTAAAAAAAACTGTGGTTGACCTTAAAAAAACTGTGGTTGACATTGAAAAAACTGTGGTTGATATTAAAAAAACTATGGCGGACATTAAAAAATTTTTTTTAATGACATTGAAAGCAGTGTATCGATTCACAACAGCCTATTTTTGTATACCCTTAAGTATGTTTACAAGAAAAAAAGGGTTCAATAAGTCTATCTTAATCAATCACTGTCATTACTTTCAGAACAAATCCTAGAATTCAAAACATACTGAGGATTCTAAAAACAATTATATGTCTTTTGATAGATTGTGAATTTAATTACTCTCTTAAGAACAACAACATTGGTTTAGTACCAGTTTAAAAAAAGTACCTAACAGCATGCCTGAACTTTATTTCAGAAAAATTGGACTAGCTTTTGTAATCAGATATCATTTTTGACAAATTGCACTTTTCATATATTACTTCATACTGTAAATACTTTTGACAAATTATGCATTTCTGATATTACTTTCTTTAGGCATGAATTGTAACACATTGTACATTTCTGCTATTTCCTTATTCAGGCATTAATTTTTAACAAATTATACTTTCCGGATATTACTTTGTTATTTCTTTTGACAAATTATACTTTTCAAGCATTGCATTTTATAATTATCTAACATCATTTTACTTTGTTTAATATGTAGTACTATGCAATTAACTTTTTTACAACCTAGATGTATAAACATTAATAAAACTAATTTATTTGAAATAAATATCAAAATAACAATTTCAAAACTTTTTGAAACATAAAATTTGAAAGAGAAATTGTTAAATTTTTTCTTTCATTATTTTTCAATTATTTAACCATAAAAAATGAATTTATTGCACATTTAATAATGTTGTATGATTTTTAGAAATAATGTAAATAAAATTTTAATTTGTAATAAATTGCTTAACAAAAATTTTATAGAATTTCCCGAAATTTACAATGAGCAAAGGAGTCAATATTTCATTTGTAATTCATGTGGTTAATATTTAATTTCATTAGAATATGGTAGAACACAAGATAAGTCGGTCATTAATCCAAATATTTGTTTAAAAAATATATTATTTTGTTTGTTTTCACATTTGATATTTAAAAAATCCTATTTAGAAGGAAAATTCAACTATAGACAATCAAAATTCAATTATTATATTTTATTATTTAAAAATTCAATTATTATATTCAACTATTTAAAAATTCAATTATTATATTCAATTATTTAAAAATTCAATTATTATATTCAATTATTTAAAAATTCACTTATTATATTCAATTATTTAAATATTCAATTGTTAGATAAATCAACAGTTGTCCACAACGCCATTTTAAAATTAAAGGAATGCAAGAAATGTTTAACAAAAATCACTCACAAATGTTTGAATTTGATATAATTCAACATTTAAATTTCAATAATTTATTAACATTATCAAGTCTCATTTTTATTAAATATATATCATTGAATTACTTTGGTTACACTAGTATTGAAATTGTGAGAATTAAAAACGCATGGAGACGCATATGATTAGATTTGTCACCTTATGGCTGTTATCTTTAAAGTTATTAACCTAGATAACAATAATCAAATTTTTATTATTCCATCTTATTAAATATAAGTATATCATGGAATTAATTTTCTTATATTAGTATTGAAATTACAAGAGTTGGAAACTTATAAAGCCGCATATGATTAGACTAGTTACCCTAAAGTTACCTAGATAACAACCTAGATAGCATTTTATTTGTAATTTATGAATAAAATATGCGATCAAGGTTGTATATTAAAGGAAATAACTTACATATTCATCTCAATAACTTACATATTCACCTCAAGTTACAAATATGTTAATTTTCAAGAGTTTGATACACTTATTACAAAGTAAAGAAAATCAACTGAACATTTTTTGGAGGATGTCATCTATTAAGGATATGGGGAAAATATGCATTCGTTTCTTCTGTGAGAAATTTGCTCACATACCCAGTAAAAATGTACAAAATATTACTGTAAAATGATGCTACCCGAAAAGATTCTTTATGTAATTCAAATTATATTTTATTATAAATTATAGTATGTTTTATTAAAAAAAAAACATTCTAAGATTCTTCATTTAAATGTGGAAAAACCCATCATTTGAGAAAATGATTCGATCTATATAAGAATTTTAAAAATGTTATGCGAAAAATTCAGAAAAACAAACTCAATTACTTGAGAAAGAAATTCTATAAATGCTGGACAGTTTTTACTATAAAATTATACTTTGAAATTTTTAAAAGAACGCAATAATTTTTGAACTGAAAAAGCGATTCAATAAAATTATCGTTTTCATTAAAATAATTGTACTTAAAATTTTTTAAAAGAATGCAATCGTTTGAGCAAACGATTCTATAACTGTGAAATCTCTTATCTGTTTATGCACATTTCAATTTCAAATTTAGTTCTGCTGTAGAATATAATACATATCATAACAATCTGCAAACAAATCAATAAAGATACCGTTGGATTTTTTTCATTTTAAATTTATTTATTCGATGCCAAATTTAGAATATTTCTTTGAAGGAAAATGTTAATAAACAGTTTTTCATTTCTTTAACAAATTATAACTGCTTCAGAAGATACTAAAGTTTACTTGAGGAAGTTGGATAAATTTATTTAATGCATTCTGGTAAAAAACTTCAAAAACGTTTTTAAGTTCATTTTTTTAACCTTGACATTGAGACATTTTCCTTATTTAAATATTTATGATTTTACTCCAATGGCCAAACTATATTGCACTTAATCATAGTTTGATTATACTTTTCAGCATTTTAAAACATCATTAAGTTTTTTATGATTGTTAAGATTAGAATCTGAAAGAATTAATAAATCGTGATGACCAATATTTAATTTAATTAAATTTGATTAAATTTGATTTAAAATAATCATGGTATGAATCCTCTGCCTAAAATCCTACGCTTGATAAAAATCCATAGAATTTGATACATTTTTAAACATTTATTATTTGCAATTAGTTAATAAAAAACACAAATACATTTTAATAACAAAAATAGTTAAGACGAGCTACATTGAAAAGTCTTTTCGCATTTTTCTCACTTAACATCACTAAACGAAATATTGACTAAACATCAGTAGAACATATATACACTCTACGTCTACTGAACTAACTTTGATATTGTTTAAAGACTCAAAAATACGTCTAAAATTTAAACGTTACTAATAAAATACTAAGTTCAAATATAGAGATTAGAAGGAAGTTAATAAATTTTTCATTGAATTAAAGAGAGAATTTTTGTTGGCAGAAAATAAAAAAATGACAATTTCCAAATTCCTATTTTGTTTAATTTTTCATGTTTTTCAGTTATGAGACATCTGTGGTAATGGTAATGGAATAAAAATTATTTAAACAGCATTAATGACGTTACTTAAATTCATGCACATAAGTTATTTAAATCAAAAACAACTAAACATTTCAATGCTTAAAAACAAAAACAAATAGCATAAAAGTACTAAAACTTACGGAGGTAGGGTGCCCAAAATTTGTCCTTCATATTTTTTCACCATTTCTAATCCATAAATATCGAACATCTTGTAGGGATTGACTGCAACTAGAATACTACCCGTATATGTCTGGAAAAAAAATTTAAATATAAATCAAATATATCAAGAATGGTCTTTTATAAAAATTTACGCGACATGCAAAAGTCTCCGCCCAGTGTATTTTGCCTCATTTTTTCCGGCTTTTAACTGTATAGGTGCATGAAAAATAAATAATTTTAATTTGCTTTATTATTATTATAACAAAATTAAAATAATATCACCCTATTTATTATAATATTACCAGTAAAAAGATTTGTAGACATAAAAACTAAAATAAATTACAATATTTTTGTGTTAAAAAGACCCAGGCAGGATTACGATTTCAGATAATTAAAATAGTTTTTAATAAAAAAAATTGAAAAAAAATAATAATTCCGTAATAAAAATTTAGTTTGCATGAACAAAAATTTCATTATGGGTAGATATAGGTATCTAAAAAAATTAATAAAATTTTTGTGAAAAGGCTGATTCTCTAATGAAATTCGCGTCTTTATTATCGTTTGAAAAATCAACTGTAACTAACAATAGAAATTAATTTGGTACAAAATGTATGTCTAAAATGTTAGAACAAGGAAAATAACGGAAAAAGTAAGCAGTATAATAAAAAGCAAATTAACGCTGTACATCACAGAAACTGCATCTCATATTGCTCTGGAATTGTGCGAAGAAAGTATTGTAAATATTAGTCGCTGTATTGTTTGTTACAAGACTGTTATAGAATGTTGAATTGCATGGGCGAATATCCATAACAAAACCATTAGTTAGGGGGAAAATTTTGATGGATAGATTAATATTTACCTTAGACCAGTGCTCCTCAACCTTTTTATCTCCGAGGAGCGGACAACGTTTGATAATTTTACCAACACTAGCTGAGAGGGTAGGGAATGTTTATATTTTAGAATGTTTTGATTTAAATCATTTTAATTTAATTGTATTTAAACATGCCTTCTTAATTAAATACAATTTCATGCGCGGTATTGGTGCAACTTTAGGTGACGTCTCTCACATCCAGGTCAATTTCTCGTCTATGGAAGTCTTATAAAGCCGAGAGAAATATATCACAGTAAATAAAATGAAAATAATTTTATGTTCCCCTATCCGGTACCGTGCGTTCTACGGACAGGTACCGGTGCCGCGAAGCAGGGGGTGAAAAAAGGCTGCCTTCGACCACTTGAAGTAGATCTTCGAGAATTGTTAAAAAGTACGTTTTTTTGCTGAAAACAAACTCAATTTACTCGATAGTGATTAATGATAGCGAAAAGTACTTTCGATGACAATCAAAAAAAAAAATCCGTAGTTCAGTAGTTAAAAAATTAAAACACCAGTATTTAAAGAAAAATTCTTACTGAAAAACATGGTAAAGACAATATAATGCTCTACACAATCTTAAATTTACTGAAAAATCTGTCAGATGGAAAAGTATTTCAATAATTTCTCCATTACAACTCTTTTCAATAAAATGTTTTTTTAATACCGTTAATAAAGTATTCAATTATAGTATTACTTTTAAAGTAGAGATTATTAAATCAACGTAACAAAATAAAATACATATAAATTTTAAAGAAATTAGTATGGGATATTGAGAAAAAATTACATATAGGGCTGTTCAAGTATTACGTAAGTATTGAATAAGAAGATTGGGTCTGTCATTTGCTTATATTTCCTAACAAGGGGGAAGGGGTATGAGCAATATGTTACATGGAACATTAAAATCCCCATATTTTTTTTATTAATTTTTTTTTTAAATTTATATAAAAAAATAAAAAATTTGAAAAAAATTTAAGAGGAAAAATTTCAAATTTTGAATGAAAAAGAAAGTTGAAAGTTAATTTCTTCAAAGAGATTTAGAAGTCAATAGTTTTGAACACAAAAAATTCCGGAAGAGAATTAGTCTAAAAAATTTTTAGAAATTTTTTTATTTGAATTTAAAATCTTTTAATTTGAATTTTATCCCAAAATTAAGATTATAGTTAAGGTTAAAGCAAAAATAAAGGGGGGAGTGTAAAAAGACATTTCTACGAATGTACAGGAAACGTTTGTAATTTGCTTATTTTTGCAGATAAAGGGAGAATCCATATTGGCCAAAAACTGCTTACGTAATAAGCAATATGCTTACATAATTACAAGCAAAAATTAGGGGCAGTTGTGTAAGCATTTTCGAGATTATGTAAGTCAAAAAAGCTTACATAATAAACAATATGCTTACATAATTACAAACAAAAATTAGGGACAGTTGTGTAAGCATTTTTGTGATTATGTAATCCAAAAATGCTTACATAATTACAAAAATGTTTACAAAATCGCCCCTAATTTTCTTTTATGTGTAAAATATGCTCATGCTTTTGGCTAGTTTTGATGTGTTAGACTTTTTGGTTCAGATGAAAAGAAATAAATTTAAAGAGAGAGAGAGACACAAATACATCAAGAACTCCAATGTCATTCAATGTAACGAAAAAAATCGATGACTCATAATGACAAACAAAATTAAACAGCCCTACAAAAAAATTAACAAAAATAAAGAATGACACTACTCGCCGTAGTACCCTGTTTCATTTACTCATCAAAAGACAAAACGTGGATTTTTTAATTGGACAGACAAATGAGCTTGATGATGCCAATATCAAGCAACGAAACTTTTCCTTGTTCTCACATGCCACGCAACAAATAAAAAAAAAGAACAAAGGTTAAGGTGTGGAAGAAAAACTAGATCCCAAAATTAAGTGGTCGTGATATCTTAGACACGCGAACCAAAATAATAATTGGACCGTTGATGACCAAGTGTTAAATCTAACACTCACTATTATCTTGTACTTCCGGATATTAAATTCGTCTGTTTCAGACGACGGAAACTGAATAACAATTGTGTTTGCTTTCATGACATTTTTGGGGAGTGAGTTGTGTATTTCTAGACAATTGGAAATGTCATAGCACAAACTTGGATGTAATTTGATAGGACAACAATGGCATTTATTAAAAAAAATGGAATTAATGTTACATTAAAAAAGCGCTTGGCAGATACTTACATATATCATTTCTTTGTCATAGCGAATTTTAAGATTCCATAGTAGAGATGCCTCGTTGAGGTCACTGAAAATGCATTAAAATAATTTAATTAGTGGCACGAATTAAAAACTAATACATAATTTGAACCAAAATAAACTTTTAAAAGGAAGTGTCATGGTTAAATTTTACGAAAACAAACTTCGTTTTCCCTCCCATTTTTATGTATCTTGCGTACTTGTAAGCCTTTTCTCAAAAACATAAATAAACAATAGAACATAGACGTATAATCACAGAAAAATCAGTTCCTTCCCTATCAGATCAAACCTTATCAAAAGCTTGAACCATGATACACTGCAAATTTGCTGTTACTTTAATAAGTTGTTAAACTGAACTGTGTTTTCGCTCAAATGGAACCATAATATCGTATAATCAAGCTTAACCCTTTCGTGCCTAACGGGACGCATACGTCCCAAGCAAATTTCAAAAAGATCTTTTGGGACAGAAACGTTTCTCTGTCTAATGGCAGACTTTCCCACCAGTCCTGCCAATATTTTTAAGGTACTTTCATACACAGAACATAGATGGCACTACTGTACATAATGCAATTTGTGCGTTTTTGAAGTGTTGTAGCAGCTCATTCCAAACTGTACGAACGTGAATTGTTTAGTTTTCTAAAATACTGCCTATTTTCGATTAAATTTTGATTGATCTATAAATCTAAGGTTAGAGAAGTTACTCACGAAACGGATTATCTCCAATAAACTGGTAAGTGGCAAAGTTTTTCTTCCGTTTTTACTATCGGGACTTCTCTCGTCTTGGATAGTGGGAGCACATTGTCCCAACAGTCCTGTGTGATCATTGGTTTTCTTTACAAAATTACTAACTAAAGACTACTAGGACTCATATGTCCCAGTTGTCAGGACTGATGGGACATATATGTCCCTGTCCTAAATCAGTGTTTAAAATTTTCCTGAAAATATAACATCTTAGTTTTAGCATTCTAGTGTGCCCTACTTATTGTTTATGCAACCAAAATTGTTCTGTTGTATAAAATAAAAAATTAAAAACACTCGTCGCGAAAGGGAATAAATAAGAAATACCACATTGTTAATACTTCCCAGATATGGCGCTTTGTGCAGTATTGTATTGACTAGTTTAGATATGATTCAGATGCTGTAACATTAACATTATTTCTCCTTATTGTTAAATATTTTCTGTTATAGAGCATGCTTGTAATAATTTGACCTATGCATCTCATAAAGAATAAGTATTTACTAATTTAACATGAAGTAAAGGAATGCTATTTCACAAATAAGTAATTCACATTTCCCAATCTAAAAAATTTAAAGAAAGTTTAAAAAATGTTCTTACATAAGCTCGATCATGTCTTCGAATCCATTTGCACCTAAATCTTGTCGCTTTCGCACACTTTCTAGATTGTGAAGAGTGAAATTTTGTGGCTGGAAAATAAATTGCATGTACATTTAAAAATTTTCTTCAGAAAGTCAAATGTGCAAAAAATAAACAGAACTTTTATTCATCGAATTTTCTGTGCTTAAATTATATAAAAATTCAATTAATTTAAATTATGAACACCTTTTTTCTTCATATGATTTTATAAATAATTTAAAATTATGAAAAACATCAAATTTGCATAAAATCAAACTTGAATCTTTGCATTATTACCTTCGTATATTTATCTCTAGATTTAAAAATTTATCATAAAATAATTCTATAAATAAATATCTTTTTTTTTCATACTAATTTTCTATATTTAAAAATTTCATAAAAAAACAAACAAATTAACGTTAAAATAATTTTGTATAATTGCTTATTTTTCAAGAACATAACTTTCTGTTTATTTAAAAAATATATCAAAAAATTTGATTTCCAAGAAATCAACATCGTTTTCATTTGTATAATTTTTAGATTTAAAAACATGTCAAATAATCTAATTACCAGGAACATCTATTTTAAGTTTCTTTTTAAAATTCTTTCAGACATTTAAATTTGCAAGGAATCAACAATACTTTCGTTCGTATTAATGTAAATGTAAAAATTATCATTACGCCAAATATACTAAAGGCCGATATTTCACTTGCTCAAACCACTATATGAATATTTAAATCTAGCAATCAAATATATTATACTAAAGATTCAGAAATTTAAACATAAAAAGCATTGTAACAAAAAAAAAAATTAAAAAAGTTTAAATTCACCTTGTTAATTAGCGCTCGCATATGATAAAATTAAATACAATCGATGCAACAACATTTTTAATAGCACTGAAAATGATGAAATCAAATTAAAAAGCGTGTTTTTTAATTAGCCTAACGCATAATTTCTTTAAAATTTTTAAAAAATCAAGTACAAGAAATTTAAGAATTATTCGTTGCAACAAATTATTAACCAAATAGCAAATAAAAAAATTACAAGTTAGCGTTATTTATAATATGTTTTTAAAAGTTCGAATTAATTATTTTTTTAAAAAACCAATCGTATCAAAAAATACAAATTCTTCTGTTAACACGTTGAATGCCACGCTAATTTCACATGGCTTGCCCGTATGGCCAAACGGTAAATAACTACCAACTAAATTTGCAAATATTAGACAGATTTTGCTAGTTTTTTAAAAGGCTTAGCATGACACTTCTAATAAAAGTGGTGAATTATATAAGCCTACGAATTGTTTAGAAATAGTGGTGGATAAAATTCTATTAAATTTAATTTATTGAACCAAGAATCACAATTAATAAACTACCACTTGAAAATGATTATTCGCTGTCCGGAGCAAGTTTGTATCTCTGTGTATATAAATAAAACTATTTTTTTGTGTTCTAAATTGCATTTATTTCTTTAAACCATTTTAGTAACGATAATAAGATTTAAAAAAAATTAAAATTTACTCGAATTATGTGTTTTTAATAATCTTGGCTTTGCCGGTCACCGGTGATTCCCCGTGTCATTGCAAACTAACTCAGTGTCGTTCATCGGTGACCCCCATGGCATTCAACGTGTTAACTACAAAACATTCAAAATTTACAGTTAAAAAATAAATTTAATTTTATATTTTGGTCAAAATGTAAATCTTTTGATTCAAAGGGTACAGTGTTTCTTTTATATAAATTTTTTTCTGACGCTCTAATTACAAGCAAAAATATTCTTAGATATTTTCGAATACTAAAAACAATCTAATTCACTAATTTTGACCTAAAGTAATACAAAATTAAGAAAAAAAAGTATGAAAAATACGTTTAATCAAAATTCTGCGTCAATCAATCAAAACTTACTGATGATAAAAAAATTTAATTTTATCTTTTTGGAATAAAAATGTTAAAGCTTTTAATACTTTTGCGGCATACAATACTATTAGTGACAGTTATTTACATTACGAACTTAAATTATAATTAAATTAATTAATTGGAATCATAAAAATTCTCACTTTTCCACTGATGAGGGCTTGTACAGTGATGACTTGAGCAGGTTTGGAGAAATCCGCCACTTCTCCGGGCAAAAGGTACCCTATGCCAGGATCGAACCATACCAAATCTCCCTAATAAAAGATAAAAAATATTTAAGTTAGATTGGGTTAGACTGAATAAAAAATTAAATCAGTAGAGTGTAAAATGGTATAGTTTGTCTATAGAAAGAACTCCCCTCGACGCAAAGTATGGAAACAAGAAGTAGCGCTAGTTAGATTGGGTTAGTTAACCCCTTCCTTCTCGCTCCCTTGAAAATGACGGGGCGAGGTTTCGCCCTCTATTTCTCGCTCCCGTGATATTGACGGGCTGGAGTATTCAGTTGTAACGCGCCAATAAGAATAAAACTAATTCATTTCTTTTGCCTAGAAAACATTTTATTTCTAATTTTGCACACTAGATGGCAGTACCAGGATATTTTTAAGTTAATTGTAGATAGTTAGTTTATTTTGAACTAGATGTCAGCACTAACCAAATACGTGTAGTCGGCAAAACAGGCACTTTTATGACAGTTTTCTTGAAAATTAACTGATTGTTAAGGAATTAAGTTTGATTGAGTTAGACTGAATAAAAATTAAATCAGTAGCTTGTAAAATGGTATAGTTTGTCTATAGAAAGAACTCCCCTCGCCACAAAGTATACGGCCACCTGCTACTATGGAAACAAGAAGTAGCGCATCTCAAAGAGGGGAGCTTCTCTCTCCTCCGATTTCTTCTCTGACCAAAATTTGTCCTACATATTGACCCAACACCCCTATTTAAAAGTTAAAACTATCATAGTCCCCACCACCGCTTTAAATGAATGGCAAAAGGAGTCCTTGCCATAGGCTATATCTAATTGCCCGGGGTAAACTCGATTGAATACCCCTGAAAAGGGGGGGGGGGGTATCTATTTATATGTCTTTTAAAAGTAAAGGTTCATTTAAAGTAAAGTAAGTAAAGTAAAAGTAAAGTAAGTAAAGTTTCAAAGTAAAGTAAAAGTTCATTTTTATGTGAATGTGACTGGAAATTATCCCATAATAAATTTTTTATTTTTAACCCCGAAATATTCTTAAATATTTCTTAAATGTAAATAATATTTGTAATTAAATCTTATAAAAAAATTAATCATTATTTCTTTTTTTAAATTCATTTCTTAATTGCATAAAATATTTTGCTAGAGCCAAATGCTCATCTGCTAAATTTAGTTTTGTAGTAAAAATACTAGTAATAGATTTAAAGGTTTAGTGGAATAGATTTTCTCTTTAGTTATATTGGATGCCTGTTGTAGTTGCATCCACGCCACCACGTCGCTGCACGCCACGAAGTTAAAGATCATCTTAAATTAGGTACAGAGAATGCATGATACTAAAATGAGCTGAGTTCGTGAGAGTTTACTTTACCAAACAATAATAATTATAGTCTATCAATAATCAAAATAGTGAAATACAAAACGAATTGGTAAAAAATATATTGTCATTAAAAAAATTTAAAAACTAAAAGGTTTATTTTCTTCCATTATGCTAGCTAAGTGGATAAATTTAAATAAAAGTTAAGAAAAAATTGAAGGCAATAAGTTCAGAAATAATAAAGATAAAATATAGATAGTATTATGACAAAAAGTACTTAAATAAGAAAGTAAACTGTTTGAAAAACTGATGTTTGGTTGCTCTATGATATAATTTCACAATTTTGCTTATATCATATTTTCCACGATGAAATTGTGAAAATTAGATAGTGACAGTCACAGTTTGAGTAATATTATTCAAAACAACTGTGCCACAAAATTGAGCTATGTTACACTCATATCTATGTAGTATCTTATTTATATAATTATTTTTACTAAATGTTTGACCACTGCCCCAAATACATATTCAACCTAAATTTTTAAACAAATTGTTTGCTAGCTATATACAGAAAGTATTCGTCTGTATTCTTTTTATTAAAAACATCATTTCCTTGAGTAAAACATGCATCAAGGTCGCCACATTCCAATCAAAATAAAGACAAAGAACTTTAAAGGATAATATCGAAACTATTCGCACGATTTCGTGAACTAGATGGAGTGGAAATTAAAGAGGTGTGCGAATTAACCTCCAACAGGAAGTTTTGATTTATTAGTAATCCGAAAACGATTCCACGAAGATTTCCAACAGGGTTCGAGGATCTGACAACGTTCAACTGCGGTTTGGGGATTTCTTGAAGAAGAAATTTATACTAATCCAATAGAAAAGATTTTATTTAAAAATACGTGTAAAACTGCTTACAATAAAGTTAAACGCCTTTCCCGCAAAAGCCACTTTTAGAAGAAAAAATTTCTATACAACAGCAGATCTCTGGTATTTAACACGTTCACGCCGGGAAAAGTGAAAATATTGATACGGGAAAAGAGAAAATACTGGTAGAAGAATTATTTCAATATTAGATAATATTCGGGAAGAGTTAATCTATTCTCAACAATAACGATTCACTGTAAGGAAATTAATCATGGCGAAGAAGCAATTCAATATAAAAATTGCATCGGTTAAAAACAATTGGTAGTTATGGATTTTTATTATTCCCGGGAAAAAAACAAAAAATGAAATTTATTGTTACCAGTTTTCACTCCGGTGCGGTGTCAAGATGAGACAATCTAGCGTGACCCACCGGTGGGTCACCCCGGCGTGAACGTGTTAATCAATATTATAAAAGAAAACTTAAAGGTATGTACAGTTCCTAGTTAAATAATTAGACGCACTATAAGATTCTATGTAAAATCTTAATTATCAGGAATAATATACAGTTTTATTGTTTTTACGCAACTGAAACCGGTTTGCACTTGCTTATGTTCGTGTATCAATTTGTTAACATTGTATAATGCAATACGTTAAAAATAAATACAAATAGGAAGGACATAAAAAAAATCTTCAGAACAAAAATCCATTATATGTATGTTTAAATATAAAAGTATTACATATAAACTCGTGCAAAACTTGTAATTATTAAAACACTACACTGTGTCTAATAATTTGGCCTAATTATTATAATACCCCAATATAATACGTGATATAATAAATATTCTATATTTATATAATATATTGTCTAATTAATCTAATCGTCGAATTTATATTATACATCGTCTAACTTAACCCATTGATACTCGAACGTAAGCAAGTGCAAACCGGTTTCGGTCGCGTAAATACAATGCTGCATAGTATCACCTGATAATTAAGATTTTTCATAGAATCTTACAGTGCGTCTCATAATTTGGCCAGGAACTGCATGTGACCACAAAATCTAAGTAATTTCTTTTCTCGCATTGGCAACAAAGATATAAAATCCACTGAGCTGAATAAGTTGGGCAAAAATAGGGAGTTAAAACCATATTATTCATGTAAACAAACTAAGCTAGATTTTTTATTAATATCATGCTTCATAGTGTAAAATAATTTAGAGCTTCAAGCTTAGTTTTAATGATGCTTTATAAACTCCGCAAGAGAAAAGATGGGAAGGAGGTTAATGAAACCAAAAATTTGCTATTTTTCCTACAACCATAGAAAATTAATGTACTCAGATAATTATTTTATGTTTCTACACATTTTAAACCTATTTACTCAAATTGAGTAAAATAACATACAACATGTGCTTCGACTCTTTCTATTATGATCCAAAAGTTCACCTTTAAAATACCTTTTTGATCATTAAAATATTTCCCTAATTTCAAACTCTAAATTTTTTACTGGAAATAAACCTTATACGCATGTCGCGATAAAATTATTACCTCTCTATATTCAAAAATCGCAAGGCCGCCTACGTCATCACTGTTTTGGGTGTTCTACCCTAACGTTGCATTTCGTTTTACTGTGCAAAAACGAAGAGACTAAAAAACTTGAAATTATTAAGATGCATACAGGAATTAGACGAAATAAAAAAAATTAGCATTCGATAATTTTTTACAGAATTATTAACTATTAAACTTGTTGGAAAAATTACCACATGTGCAGCTCTTCAAGTCACAGGACAGAGTTGAAATTTGGCATGTTGAAAAGGTCATATTTAGTTATAAGCATAAGAGATTTTTTTCGAAATTCCAATTTATTCGAAGTTATTAAAATTTTAAAATCTTTTCTTGCGATTTTTTTAAAAAATTATTAATGCTTTACATTACCTTTCGCTTTGAAGCTCAGAATCTATACGACTTAGAAATTTGAAAATACGAAGGATTTGAAAAACTTACCAGGAGTTCGATGGAATAAAAAAAAATTCGATTCGATTATAAATTCGAGGATAGTTAAACTTAAGAGTAAAAATGACCGTATTGGACGATCTACTGTCCACCGTCATGGAACTACAGAGTTGAAATTTGACGTGCTCTTAGGGCCATTTTGTATTATAACTAATACTAGGAGTTTTTTTTCGCAATTCCTATTTGTTCGTAAATTATTGCAATTTATCTTTAAATAGTTATTTATCCAGTGTTAAAGAAAAATTTATCTTTCTCTCAATTCACATTTTATAAGCTCGTGCTTGACTTGATATTAAAAGTTACAACAACAAAAAAATGAATCTATGAAAATAAGAAAGAGGTTAGTTGTTGCTAGGTGTAATTCTAAAATTAATATCGAAATTTTGAAAAATATAAAAACTGAAGAGAAGTAAAAGCTGCTTCCCATGTGAACTGACATATAAGGTTATCGTTATTTATTGTTAACATATAAAATTAGTTCGAATTTATTACTGTTTATTGCGTCGCATATTCTATGTTCCTAAGTTTAATGTGTTTTTTTTCAAACACATTTGATTATTTCATTAAAACTTTAGATTGAGTAAAAGAATAGTTATTTGAGCTTTAGATTGAGTAAAAGAATAATTATTTGATATCATTTAAAACGTTAGATTGAGTAAAAGAATAATTATTTGAGCTTTAGATTGAGTAAAAGAATAATTATTTGATATCATTTAAAACTTTAGATTGAGTAAAAGAATAATTATTTGATATCATTTAAAATTTTAGATTGAGTAAAAGAATAATTATTTGAACAAACGATTTTAAGCTACAACTATTTTTTTTAAATAACCGTTTGCTTTTTTTTTTTAATTTTAGGCTTTTTATTATT